TCTTAGAAAAATTATCTTTCGCACAAAAGTATAGTGCAACGACATATTTTACGGAAATTTTCTTTCCATGCAGGGGGTAACCAGCTAAGTTGGAAAACTGCAGAAATTCCGGGGGGTGGGTCTAAAACAAAAGTGCCTCCCGCGTGTGGAAGGGGGATGAGTATAAATATTTTTTTGAAACTATACATTACAGACTTCACTGTAAATTCTCCAATCTTTAATCTTGCATAAAATATTGGGGTGTTAAAAGATCTCTTAAAAAGGTCATAAAATCGACAGTGAAACACTTGTGTACGAACAATGTTTTTATCATTCCGTTTCTGTATTGGGAATCGGTCATGCGCAAAGTGGCCCTGGTTGTTGACCTGGACGAAGGTATCGCAAATCGTCTTGTGTCTTTTAAAAGTGTAGTTGTAAAATGGTTGTTATGCCTTTGAAGATCTGTCAAGTTACAACGAGTGTGCTTCGCTTCGATTTAAGCAAGAAGTTAAATATTCCTATACAGTGGCCTTCCGGTGTAATCAGGGTAGTTTCTTTCACTAAAACACTTACTTGCTTTCAATGATGTGATAAACGCGTGTTGATATACGCGCACATTTAATATTCTAGGCCGTTGTGCAAAGGATTTGTCTTGAAATCATGGCAAGGAAGAGACGTTATTTATGTCTGCGAGTAGCAGTTATTCTGTTATATATTTGGATATTTTTGCTGGCCTTGTTGGACTTATTTGCCGCTTTTTCTATGTGATCGCTTCGCTTTTCATCGCTAGCCGGATAATTAAAAAGACAGAACTTGTCAGCAATCGAGCGGCGATCGCAGCGCTTTTGATGTAACGATTGATTTGAGAGGCACGTATTGGATTTGATCAACACCTTAATCTCAACGGTTGACAATAGTACCCGTTACATTTTGCTTCCTAATGCCATAATTTTTAAACTAGAGGTCTTGCACGATCCATTGCCGAGTTTTGTATCTCGATCGCTGCCGTATTTCCAAGTTGTTGGTTTATAATTGTAGTGTGCACTTTTTTCAAGCTGTAATACTTAGTTATTAAATTATAATTCCAATCGAGTTCATCTAGAAATAGATTTACAAAATCATTTTCATGATTAAATAGGTTTAGATGAACATCTTATATGTCTATCAGTAAAGAAAATCAATTGAGTCCGATGTTTGAATGCGGAACGGCCGATCGTGTTTGAATATCATTTTTGTTTTTATGCATCAGTCAATTCCACCTGCGCCCAGCGCCCCCGGGCAGACCCCCGGGAGTTAGCATTTTTTTGCCTTGGATGGCAAATTCCCGGGGATGGGGACTCTCGAGCTGGCAAATCCCCCGGGGTAGGGACGAAAAAAGAGGGCAAATGCCCCGTCCTCCGTCAACAGCGCAACATTTTTTATTGATCGCACAGCCCAATAGTGCCATTTTAATGTGCGATTTTTTGTGTCACTTAAGGTCTTCCTTTGTAATAGCGCTAGGATTCTAATTAAGACTTCACGGCGCGACGACATACACCACTTTACGGTTTTAGTATTGATATAAAATTATTGACATTAAAATTAATAGAGCGCTGTAAAGTTATATGTTATGAATAGTTTTATAAATATGAAAGGGTGTTCTTTAAATAATATCAACAGAAATTTGATTCAATAACCAAAAAACGTTGATTCACATCGATAGCTCCAATTTCGCTATGTAATTCTGGCTTGATAAGCATTGAAGAAATGCATACATACATGTAACATCGAGAACATGCCTTTACAACCCTCTACAATTTATTCCTGTCCTTGATATATGAGCCAATTTGCATTTTTTCCAGCAAAACCTTCTGTGTAGTTATATTCTGATAGGAAACCGCGTGTGTGCAAAAGCCCGGGAATGGCCCGGGGGTTGGCAAATGACCGGCCCCCAGGCAGTGCAATATTTGCAAATGCCCCACCCCCGGGACTGACAAGGCGGGCAGATGCCCGCAGTAGCCCGGGGGTAGGGGGGGGGGGGGTGGGCGCAGATGGAATTGACTGGACTGATGCATTAACAACTTGAAAATTAAGTCATCTAATTAAAACAAAATTTATTGAAAAGGGTTTTAAAAAAGAAAACCAGCACACACACAAAAAAAAAAACAGAACGAAAGAAAAGAAGAACAAAAAAAGAGAAACTTGTTCCCGACGAGATTTGAACTTGCGCCTTTGGACGAGAAAAACAGAGAAAAATACTGAATTAACTCACTCGACCACGCCAGCAAACGGTAAAGAATCGGGCTTAAGAGTCTATATTCCATCTCTACAATGATTGACAGTTTTCAGGAATAAGTTTTTTGGTTTTTTAAACAACTATGGAAAAACTGAACTTAACTAGACAAAAAGTTAAAAATAAAATCATCATCCTCTGAAAGAGTCGACTGAACTTGATAAAAAGATCATTTCACGACATTTCTCCGTACTTATCTTGGGCCATCCTCATGAAATGTTTCGTTTCCCATCGCCCTACCGACCCATGTTTTTGGAAAAGTAAAAAAAAAAAAAATTCCAGAATCGCTTGTAAAGAAGCAAAAACTTAAATTTTCAAGCACACGATCTTGTCCTGTTAACACCAATTGTCTTAAACTATCATCGATACTTCGTTTTTGTAGCCTTTTAGACATTTGATAGTCCTGTTAATATACATCTTTTACCATCTGATTATATCTTGCAGACTAAACGTGAGATTTAATATGCAATCATGTGTTCATTCTTTTTTTTTTTTTTCTGCCTGACCGACCGACCCACCTTCACTAGAGGGAGGGCGATGGGAAACGAAACATTTTATGGGAATGGCCTTGATGTACTGCAGAGTTGTGTGTAAAACCAAAAAACCTACTATTTTGATATGCCTACATCATTTTAAACCCTAATAATTTAATAACCATAAAACTGGCTTTTTGTTTCTGTGAGACAGTGATAATTTTTTTCTCTTTTGGCCCACTTCTGCTAAACTAAGAGCAATGATTAGCGGGAACAGTCCCTTCGCACTTTGAAGCCTCGCATCGATCACAGTAGACTTGGAAAATTGTCCGGAATGCTGGTTTTTCATGAGCAATTTTGGTTATAACTTTTGGCGAAAGGAAAGCTTGACCACTAAAGACCAGGTAAATAAACGTTGGAAAGAAATGAGCGAGTGGTTAGAAGACTCGGCTCTGGATATTTTCGACCCTAATGGCGGACGTAGGAAGAATGATCCGGCTTGATTTTACGATTAATAGTCTGGAAATACTCATCATACGACTAATAATCGTACAATTCCACGTAGAATAACCGTAAAGTTACGTCTTTTACGGTTAATAAACTGAAAACGTAGTATTTTACGATTATTACACGGGTTTGGCGTGGAAAGAACGATTGATAACCCGTAGAATCTGTATTTCTACGATTATTAGTCTGTGCTCCAAAAGCATTTTGACACTCCAGAAATAAATTGACTTCTGTTGAGGGAAAAATCGTACAGGATTAAAAAAACAGGCCCACAACAGAGAAGATCGTTTAGTGATTTTAGTAAACCAACACGCGGTGGAGAAGTGAAAGAGTGTGAAAGATGTATAAAGAGAGCTAATCGTCGATATGACAGTTCTCTTTTGTTTCGTTGCTCGCAATTTCCTGATACGGCGGAGATGATTTTAATCGCGAGGCGTCATGCCTTTTGCAGTATTAGTTAAAAAATAAATTACAAAGAAGTGAATTCATAACTGATGTCCATCTGTTTTGGACCAAACTGGTCACTGGGGGGTAGCCATGAAGCAAACAGAACTTGGTTCAATATCACGTTGACAAAATAAAGGCTAGGTTAAAAAGGAAAACAATCAGTGACTTTTGCCATTTAAAATGACGTTTTTAGGATAAAAACATTTTTCTTAGTCTCAATAAACTTGACAAAGATTATGCAACGTGTGAAGCTAAAAATGATTCCCAAAAACTTTTGTATTTAAGGGAGGTTTTAACTTAATCGGTAAAAGATGGCATTCATTCTAAAGCCTCTGCTTTGAGAACATTGCGCTTCGCATTTACAATCGATTTTGCCGGGCGCTTATTTAAGATTGAATGAACACTTTGGTAAAATTAAGAAAAGCTGTCAGTGCCAAACTTTATAAGTTTACAAACTAAACCAACGCTTGTAAATGAAATGAGGGGGTCAACAATTTTAAAACTCTCTAGTAACAGACAACAGAATGGCAAATGGCTGACAAGAGAATAATTAGCATTGTTAGATGAGGCTGAGTATGATATGAAAAACTATTTAGCAACGAGGAGGCTGTGATCCGCCGAGACTGATAACACCCTCCGAGATCTGCGTAAATTCCCGCCTTCATAAGATCGGCCTGTCTCGCGGACAAGGGTGATGAAGGCTCTGCTGACGATTTGACAAGATTTGAGAACTAGTCAAATTTGTCCAAACCTCTCGCTTTCTGATTGGTTTAAATTGCGCGCGCAATAAAGAGAAAAACAAATTGCGCCACCATCACGTCACTTACGTGGTCTGTTCTATTATCGACGATAGCTCTCGACCAATCAGCGCGCGAGAAATCACTCAATTGCATCTTCAGGTTATTCTAGGATTGTTTAATATTTTCCTCCTGCTTCTTTTATTCTTCGTGGTGATCCTAGGGTGGACACGGACGAAGAGCTTTGTGTTGTTGTAATATAGCTGAATCTCGATTCCATTCCTTTCTTCTCCTCGTTCACGCCGTTCTTAGCACCAGGGACTGGAAAAGAGAGAAAGAGCTTACCACACCAGCTCCGGTGAAGAATTTTATTGATAATCTGAGCAAAAAAGACTCAGGTCAAGTGAGCTGAGCAAGTTGGACGGACGTGTGCGTGAATGTGCTCTGTAAAGTTATCCTATTTCTCTCATACATCCAATGTTTTATTGTTTCCTTTTATATGTTTCGTGTACCAATAACGTTTGTCTCTGTTCGTAATCGTTTTTTGGCAATACTTTGTTTTATATTAGTTCATTTTATTTATTGTATTGTAGTGTCTTTATTATTATTTAGTCCAACTAAGAGAACCTTGTATTGTAAATAGATCTTTCCTCTCCCCTCTCTCTCTAGGCTATTTGTGGGTGGGAAAATGATTTAATTAGTTATAATTTTATAATTATAATGTGTTGTTGTTGTTGTAACAAGTATCCTTATGACAAGTCCAATTCCAGACCAAACCCATTGCCATCCTCCTGTAAGAATGCCCTGGTCCTTCCAGTCAAGGTTTTACGCCAGCATGATTGGACACGAGATGGTGAGAGCTCTGACCTGAATTATGTGGCGAGCAATGTTTGGGACGAGAGCACAAGATGACAGCTTCACCTTTAAACGTCAGTGATGCCCCAGCGATACAGAGCGGCAAACTTCGTGGAACTGGACGTTTCAGGAAATCCATAAATAAATGAAGTCACGAAATACGAAAACATACTAGTGATTAACTTGCTTTTGAATAGTAGGCCAGTGCGCATGAGCAGAAGTAAATCAGAACACTACAAGAAAAACCAACTACGGGCGTGTACCACGCTGAAAAGAAGAGAGATAACGAAAAATTACGCGTTTAATTTTGATATTATTATGGTGTCGGTTTACTACAACGACCAGTGTTTTTTTTTAATGCAAACCATATATCGTTGTTGTTTTCTGAAACAAAAACGGTATTTATCAATTGAAATGAGAAAACAAAAACGAAATGGATTTTGACGGTATAGTAATAGTATAATGGTACTTACATATCTCTTAAACATTCCTGGACGTGCCATGTTTTTTTTTAATCTTAAAAGCGCATATTCTTAAACTGAAACTGACTGTCTACAGTCTCTGAACGAGAAAACGACATCACGCAGACACACACGCACAAAAAAAAACTTACCCATGCATTCCTTGTGATATTCACATCTTGATTCGCCATCTTCGCGTTCACTTATATTGTTGCCTTGGTAATCACTTATGACAATGAAGGGCGGGATGATTGGTTTGGTCGATGGAAGACTCAGGGTACGTCGCTTAGTTCGGGGTGGAAACAGGAAGGGCTGACTCTGTGTTTTCAGGGAATGGGAGCGATAGTTGCGCGACGGCTCCTGGGGAGGTGCTAACAAGTGCGATTCAGACATGGTGTCAGTTGCATTGGAGTAAACAAGCTGAAAGAAATCAATGGAATGTTACCAAATCATCATCATCATCATCCTCTTTTTGGTCGTCGTCATCATCATTATCATTTACGAATCATTTCAATAAGTCCACACCTCATTTAAGTAACACAGAATTGCCAAGTAAAAGGACTCAAAGGACTTTGTGGATTAATTGAGATTTCTGAATAACTTTCCACCTACCCCTCCCCTAATTCACAATTTCGTCCCAAGTGAGAAGTAAGTGTCAATGTTGACTAAGGGGAGGGGTAAGTGGTCGATCATTTACCCAGAAACTTCCATTGATCCGACTTTGTCTTACCGAAGCGTGACTGCAAACTGTCTAGCAAGGTCTGCTGTATGCAAAAGATTGTCTACACAGCTAAGCTAAAGGTAGGACAGAGTAGTTTTACTTGAATCGGCCAAAAAAATCAAATTAATAGTGGCTATAATCGTTTGAATCTCGTTAATTTGTTAAAGCTACCACCGAATACACCTATTTGATGTATACTTAGGGGCTTTTTACATGAAGAGAGCTGGAGGAAGATCCTATAACACTGAACAACGTTTCGTTGAGTTTACATGCAGAAATTTCTGTCCGTTTGGTTAACAGTAGAGAAAGAATTAAAGATTGAAGATAACCCATTGAACGGCCCGCAGCCATTTTTGTGTGGTTTGTACCTAGCACTAGGATCTTCCTAGTGAAAGCCGTTTACTTGGTGCTAGGATCTTGCTCGTGCTAGGATCTTTAATTCCTACCCCACTGCAAGGAAGATCCTAGCGCTAGGGACAAGTACAACGTTTTGCATGTAAACTGAATACAGAAAACATATGGCACTAGGATGATCCGCCTTCTAGGATCTTTCTCCCTCCATGTAAGAAGCCTCTTTAAACCCCCAATAATATTTCCACGACAGTCCCTGAAGAATTCGTGGACAAATGGGATTGAACACAAGCGTACAAGCGTAATCGTCCACAGGCGATCATATACACTAACAAATAGTTCGTGTCGTCCGTTAAAATCTATCAGATCAAAAGAGCAGATATTACTCTGACATGGTAGATATTTCAGCTTAAAGTAGAGTCAGATATTAATATTTTAGCTAAAAGAAGTAGCGTATAATTTCCAAAGAGTACCGATTATATTATTCTATATCTGTTTAATATTTAACTTTCTACCGCCCATTTGTGCGGTCCGAAGAAATATCGAGAAATAGCACTCTTTGCTTGCTAGTACAGTAAACAGAATGTGACTCTTTCTCCCCAAATTAGTTACTAACCTGTCGTTGCAATGGTTATAAATTGAATATCCTATACTTCTCTCACACGATGGAGTTGTTAGCGTGAAAAAATTATGCAAATCTAAAGAACGGGTTCTTTGTAATAAAGCTCCATTCTCTGTTTTCCAATAAACAGCACAATCTCCGAGTAAAATTGACACAAGGGCATTGTTACGACATTAAACATCACCAGTGTGATTGGTATCAATTAAAATCAAGACATAGTTTGTAACAAACACAGATAAAAAAGCTGCGACAAAATGCAGGAAATTTAATGGTTGTTAGGAGTTAAGTGTATTTCATCGATGAAGCTTGAAATAAACGGATTTTCTAAATATTCAGTGCGATTGGCTTTAGGAACACAATAAATCAATTATTTGTTTTCAAGAACAAAATTTAAGTAAGTAAGGTTTTAACAAACTCAATGGACAATTCACTTTTAAGAGTATGGGAAGGGTGCGTAGGGAGACAAGTCGGGGAGAAACGGAATACTATTAAAATACGTTAATTTCAATGTATATGATATTGCCTTCGCGTGTTCTTTCATTTTACTCGAAATTATTGTAATTTGAACAGCGTTGTTGATAACTTTGTAATGTTTTCATATCATTATGCCGCGTTTGTTAACATAATATTTGTTTACTTTAAGGTTACTGTTGAATACTACTCTTAGTGAAATACTATCAAATAACGATTTTTTTTTTTAATGTATATATTTAACCTGTAATTTAAGCATGATAGGTGTCTCTGATTAATCGTAGCCTCCTGGCAGAGATAGCCGGCTAGTAGTTCTGATATAGATGATGGTGATCATTCAAGCTAATAATAGATAGTATCCACACAGGCCGCCCAAACTCACGTTGCTAGGGAAGGGTGTAATGTAATTTACATAACATATGTGACGCGCGCCGGTGTCGCGTTACAGGCGACCGTTGAAAATATAAGAGACTTTGTATGGGAAATATGTCACTGAGATCTGCGAACGCCAAATAACGCTAAACCTTACTTTTTCTTAAATGAAATGAATAAAAAAGTCTTACCTGCAATCTATTCCGCTGCGGTTTGGTGTCTGTTTGTCGTTTTACTGTTTTTTTGGCTTTATTGCGTAACCACTGTTACTCCTTTCATAGAACGAAGTGAAGGCTGGTCACTTCCATCTGTCGGGGTCCTGGACCAGTCGCCCAAAAAATGCCGTTTTTTTCGCCGAAATTCAAATCCGCTGCAAATTTTTCAGCTCCAGCCCAAGAAGGAAACCTCTTCTTCCTCTCTGAGAGATCGGCTCGAAAAAAAATCCATAATTTCCTCATCAAATCGAGCCATTTGTGCCGGACTTCGAGGCAAGTCTGGCTTTCGTGCAGTGCCTGTGACCACTGTCGCGCTTACCAAGGTTTCCAATTTCAAATGCAAATTAGTCGCTAGGGTGACAATTAGCACTTACGCGACGGGTGCAAGGGCAGAAATGACCCGTTAACTAGGCTCCTCGCCCCACCACGCCAAGGGAGTAATATGACGCTCGCGCTATGTGAGGGATCGCGTGTCCAGGTAGGCAACGAAAGGATCATAATAACGGGAGTATGTTTCAGCGAGATGATGAATGGAGTGTATTATTCGATGCACAACAAACACCAAGCTTTGAATAGGTTATTCCTTTTTCTATTAGTGAGGAATCATTCCGTCGAAAAAATCCAAAGGGAATACCATGCCTAGATTTCTTGAAGGGAATTACATCGGTATCGTCACCAGATCTCAACCTCTTCAAAGTAGATAGCATACTGGAATATATGAAAAACTACATTTTCCGTTGTAAACTCTTGTTATCAACCATTACAGCAATACGAAAATAGAATCGTTGCCTACCTGGACACGCGATCCCTCACATAGCACGAGCGTCATATTACTCCCTTAGCGTGGTGGGGCGAGGAGCCTAGTTTAAACGGGTCATTTCTGCCCTTGCACCCGTCGCGTAAGTGCTAATTGTCACCCTAGCAACTAATTTGCATTTGAAATTGGAAACCTTGGTAAGTGCGACAGTGGTCACAGGCACTGCACGAAAGCCAGACTTGCCTCGAAGTCCGGCACAAATGGCTCGATTTGATGAGGAAATTATGGATTTTTTTTCGAGCCGATCTCTCAGAGAGGAAGAAGAGGTTTCCTTCTTGGGCTGGAGCTGAAAAATTTGCAGCGGATTTGAATTTCGGCGAAAAAAACGGCATTTTTTTGGCGACTGGTCCAGGACCCCGACAGATGGAAGTGACCAGCCTTCACTTCGTTCTATGAAAGGAGTAACAGTGGTTACGCAATAAAGCCAAAAAAACAGCAAAACGACAAACAGACACCAAACCGCAGCGGAATAGATTGCAGGTAAGACTTTTTTATTCATTTCATTTAAGAAAAATTAAGGTTTAGCGTTATTTGGCGTTCACAGATCTCAGTGACATATTTCCCATACAAAGTCTCTTATATTTTCAACGGTCGCCTGTAACGCGACACCGGCGCGCGTCACATATGTTATGTAAATTACATTACACCCTTCCCTCGCAACGTGAGTTTGGGCCGCCTGTGGTATCCACAGCAAAAATAATAATAATAATAAGGAAAATTTAACAATATTTTAAACAACCCCTCAAAAGGCGTTTGCTACGTGAAATTACTGCCAAACTGGTTTCATTAGAAGGGTAACTCCACAAGATTTCGTCCACAGATATAAAAGTTAGAAATGTATAGAATCAGACTTTGGAATGAGATAATTCGATTATCAGTCTCTCGAAACGATTATGTTTAAAAACACATTAACTCACATACGACAAAGCAAATATTCCTCAAGCTCAGGCGACCTGTAAAAAATATATCCTTGCCCTAGAAATTGATAATAAAGCTTTATATACGTATGGTAAGTTAATTATTTGACAAAGCTATAAAGCGTTTGCTTTTAGATTGCCTGGGTGAAAACCGCACCGCGGTCTGCCATAAATGTTTTATAAACCACCGCCACGTAAACAAACAAAGAAAACAAACCTTGTGTGGTTTTGTGGCAGGTAGATTTGCAGGTGAACAAATCCGTGCACTTAAAATCTCTTTGGTACTAACTGATAATCCCTTGCTGACTTCTTTTTCGCGAGAGAACGTAGAGGATGTAGCTAGGTGACTGGATTTACATAGAGTCAGGATACGTGAACTCTAAAGGAAATATAACTCGCGTTCAAGCAATATATCGTAATGAATTACCCATATCGAACCTTTATATTGTGCTTCTTGAAAATAAGGTTTGTAGATTTCCCGAGTTTCCGGATAATGCGTATCGACACATTGTTAAATGTGGATCTGCTAAATCCATTATGCTACTCTAAGACCCCATCTCTCTTACGTAGACCACCACAAGCCATATTTTTATCCCTAAGCCATATTTTTAACAGGTAAGCTCCACCGGGGCTGAAATTAATCGAAATTCAGCGGTATTAACCTTTCTTAAAAATTATTTCCTGCACTGATAATTTGTCATTATTGGAGTATAATTTTCGTCATCGGATATAACGAACATTCTTTCACGAACACAATCTTCAGGTTTTAAGAGGTGAATATTTCCGGATTGTATGGAATTTCAAGTAGAAAAAAACGTTTAATAATGCATTATACAGAGAATTTAGGCCTTGATAACAAGTTTGGAAAGTCTTTTAGACCCTTAAGAACGCAACGGCGATTTCAGAGAAAAGTCGCTCTATTGCAAAATTTAAATGCTTTTGTGGCTATTGTAGCTTTCATATCTAACAACTACTTGACCTACTTGGTTTTGAGTCAGTATTGAGAACATTAAACAGAAGTGAACTTCGCCAAGTGGTATTGTGTTGTTTCAGCTTTCAACACAAATTTTATTTGATTATCGATATTTTTGACACACTGGTAGGCTACAGGATGGAGGCCGTAGGTGGAACGAATCGAAGGGGTTCAGTCTTTCTGCTGCTCTCTAAAACTAAGCTTGTCTACGGCAACAAAGGTATCGAAACGTGGCAATATAACTCACTTCAAATTGTTTTGCGACTGCCACAAGACACTGAATGCAGCCCCAAGTTCATACATCTCGCGGAAAAAATTGCTACCATCGTGTCAGTCTTTCAAATTGCAGATTTACCCGGGCTGCACAGTTGTTTAGTAGTCGTTTTGTTTCGGAGTCCGGAATTTTACGTGGGGAAAATGATTTTTTTTCTTTTTTGCGGAAGTCAAGGTTTAAGAACGTTAACATTTCTGTGGTCTTTAGTAAAGCACCAAGTGCAGCCTTTCAAATAAGCAAAGTTTGTTTGGTAGCGATTTCTCACGAATGCACATTGAATGTAAAGTACAATTGTCTTAATTCATTCGTCTGAAAATGGGATGTTATAGAACCACGAGGTAGTGGCATTTTGATAAACACAAACAGATCTCCCACTTTAGCTTACCTTATTCGCTTCTTCCATTTCAATTTTTTGCGTCAACGATTGGCCTTTTTTGTATCACCAAGCAGAGATAAATCAGTTGAAAGAGCACCAAATTTCCTAGTAAGCTAGGTAAAGAGCCTTTACTCAGTCTACTCCATTCATCAGCAAAGCAAGGTAAGACTGGTTTCCTCGCTACTGTAAACGGACACGACGTCCATTAGGGAACAGGGTGGCTACTGATGACAGTTTTGATTAAAAGCAAGGCTGCAAGATAATACGTTGTAATAACAAACGGCTATCAAATAACCAACTCGATAACAGTACCCCCCTGAATTTTTCTTTCTTTTCTTTCCCGCGTGAAATCCTTTACACTGTTCTTTTCCCAAACATATTCATAATACTACAGAGAGATTTTTTTTCAATAAAATGATGTAAGACGTGGAACATCACGCTTCTTTAAACATGTACTATACAAGTCGTCGCTTTTCCTTGAAAAAAGACGAAGGTTTCTATAATTTTCCTACAAAGGATCCCTGCCGATCCCCAGACGAGTTTTAAAACTAACGAGTCTGGGGGAAACTCAGTGACAGCAGAAAGTTTGAAATTCATAGCTAGGTAATTTGCTAAATTCTGGGCGCTCAAATAGAAGTGTTCATGACAATTTTCATTTCGACTATTAATTTGTTTTATTTGAAGTATTAGCTCTCAAAATACATTTAGTATAAATCATTAGGTGGTATGAATGGAGTTTGCCTGAGGCAAGAAGTAACGGTAATCAATAGTAAGTCTTTTTGTTTCTTTGTTTGTTTTCATCAGTTAAAAATCAAAGGCGACAGTCGCCCGTAATACATCTCTTCGAGTCACTAAGATGGACGTCATTACCCTGGGTACCAGAGGTTTTTCTCGCGCGCGGCGGGAACTTTCGGTGTTGGCCGAAGGCCGACACATCCTCGGCCGTAGGCTTTTCGCGCGGGTCACTACACTGACTTGACAGAAACCGGAAACCGCGCTAGAAAAGTCTCTGGCACCCAGGGTAGGACGTCATTTACCAGATTTACAAACTTAAGTTCGAAATCCGAGAAGGGTCTTCCGACTTCCAACTTCAGACTTCAGACTTAAGACTTAAGACCTGACAAAGTGCGAACTCCCGATGTCTGATTTCTGACCGTTCAGACTCAAAGCTGAATGGCTAGACCTTCGGACCTCCCACTTCCCACTTCCCACTTTCGACTTCCTACTTCTGACTTTCTACTTCTGATTTCCCACTTGCCACTTGCCACTTCCGACTTCTGACTTCCAACTTCTGATTTCCCACTTCTGATTTCCAACTTCCGACTTCTGACTTCCAACTTCCGAATTCTAACTTCCGACTTCTGACTTGACTCTCAGTTCTGTTAGGCTCGATTGCCGCTCGATCCACCACGCGGGTATTAATGCTCAAAGTCAAAGCTCAGTGGAAAGGATGGCTGTACGGTTCTCGCCACAAAAGAGAACAACTAAACTTGCTCTTGAAAAAGCAACTAAGCCCAAAGCCAACCCGGCAACCGATGAGGTTCGCTTGGAGAACCGAAACCATGGTCTTGCCTGATCACAAAGTGGCAATAACAAAACAGTCCAAACACTGTTAATGTTATTCTAGCCAGCATAACAGGCGCCTTACGAGCCAAGCCAGGCGAACGCGGCATTTTGCGTGAAGCGCGAAACGAGTGTGAAGCGCTTCGCTCGTAAAGCGCCTGTTAGAGGGTCTCAATGGGGTGGTGGCTTTTACGGTTAACGGCTAAAATTTTGGCTCTTTTACGGCTATCGGTTAATTTTTTTTCAGTTACGGTTAACAAAAAAGTTAAAAATTAACTTCTTTTGTTTCAAAAAGTTAAATATTAATCAACCTGTATTTTTTGTATCTTTAAATCAAAATAAAGGTCTTTCGATCATCTCGGGATGAAACAACCTATTCTTTTGAAAAATTTTAACGTTTGATAGATCATACTTTTTATAAAGTCTTTCTCTTCTAATATAATTTTACACATAGAAATGTCAAAAGTCAATTTAAAAATAATCTTTGTGAAAAAGAAAATGCAGACACGCAAACGCCCAACTCAAGGCCGGGGCGCGACATTCATTATAACAGAAATGGCCGTTTTCACACTAGAGACGGATTATTTGTGTGAGACGGGATATCCGTTTGATGATTCGCGTCAGATAGGTAACACTTCTTAATTCGAAAATGGAATAGTTTTAATTTTGAGTGAACAATCCGCCTGACTTTATCCGTCAATTTCGACGGACAGTTTGAAGGCGGGATTATCCGTTCCAGATAGCCTGTGTACAGCCGCCCCCTCCCCTCAGAAAAAATCGGAGAAGAGGTGTCTGTGGGGAGGGCGCGACTGTACACAGGTTAGCCTCAGACGGATAATCCATTTCTAGCTCTGGCGTGAAAACGACCTATAACAAAATTCCCGTGTCCAGTGTTTTTAATGATAGCGAAGGACTGTATGGAACGACTGTCTGCCGTTGCCTTGTCCGTGGGCCTCATTATTCCGCGCGGCTAATGCGTTTCGGGTAACGTGGTCCATGCGAGTTCGCCACCAAAATACCTTGACCGATATTGCGTGGGAAGACGCCGTACGGGGACTCGGCATGGCAATGTCTACCATAGCGTCAGAGGAAAACAGGGAAATGTTGTTCATCGGCAACGTGTTTTACAAACAGTGACATCTCTGCGTGTTGTTTCATTAGTGTTTCGAGGGCTCGGCCTCCTGAAAATCGCAAATATTAATCCCCAGCAAGAAGCCACACTTTCGCTATGGAAAAAATCAGTTCCCCTAGAGAGTGGCGGACATGGAGCCTAGGTCTTGGTCAACACCTAAAAGGCGCTTCGCCTAACGTGCGTACGGAGTCACACTAGCCTGGAAATAGAAAACGCAACCATAAGTGAGGGAATCTAGGGAAAAGTTTCTTTTACGGTTAACTCTTTTTTACCCTATTTACGGCTAACGGTTAAAATTTTTCAATTTTTACGGCTATCGACTAAATTTTTGGCCGTTTTACGCCTATCGGTTAACCCCATTGAGACCCTCCTGTTATGCAGGCTAAACTTATTCAAAAAACTATTACCAAGGAAGGAAATACCCACTCCAGTCAAAAGAGTAGAAAAACACTAAGCTGGAATATACTGAGTCACAATGCAATTCTCCATAGTTGATGCAGCTTCATTTTAAGCTGCACTTCATTCTTATAACTTTGGATCTGTAAATCACTATCCGTGATAATTTAACATCCTGCAAAGAACACTAACAAGCTGGGCCCAGCGTGATAAAACATTGCAGATTCACGGACTAAAGAAAATCACTTAGTTATTCAGGTCCAGAGGGCACTTTGGAGAAAAATTAGAGCCCTTCCTCAGCCGTAATAAAAAAAAAACAACGTTAAATCGATATGTGTGCCATGACCTCTCAGTGTGAAACAAGCGGCTAAAATTACATTTGCTCAGTAAAAAATGTAGAACCTTCCATAGCATAATCTACCCTGCAGAGGGAGAAAACGTTATTGAAACAAGCAGCATTTTAGCATAAGGTAAAAGTCGCGTAGGCCTACCACCGCCTTTCATTGCTACGGAAGTCGGAAGTTGGAAGTTGGAAGTCGGAAGTTGAAAGTTAAGGTAAATTTTTGTAGAGAATCGAGGTGAACGACGGATGCGTGATGATAAAGGGTCTTTTGTATGGAAAGTGAAAAGAACGGATCCTACCCCATGATGACTTATCGAATGTTACTTATTTTAACGTTATTAGCTTAACAGCAGAGATCTTTTAACTTCGCTTTGCAGTGTTAATGTTCCGCACGAGTTGGGTTTGTGATTTGATGTTGCCTTGACGAGGATGTCTATTCAGTCGATTGGTGACCTTCATGTTCTCGCTGCCCTGTACGTTGTAACCTTGTCTTTCTGTGGTAAGTTTGGAACTTATTGGTTTAATGAGCGCAATAAAGGTACCTATTTTGCTATCCAGGGTAACTGCTCATGCTCGATTGTTAATATACAGTAATATACGAAAAAACATGCGTTTCACATGAATTCCTTTAGTTTAGAGGTTACTGTGGTGAAATTAGACGTACGGAAATATTTGGACATAGTTTGTGAGATCCAAAGAGCTATTTTTGTTAGACAGTTAGCCATGTTTTTAAATAGCGACAAAATGATGAAACTTTTTAAGCTGCGGGTGCATTTATTTTTTTAAAAAAAAAAAACATTAAAATGGTTCAGAAAGAAGAAGGAAGTCAGGCGTGTCGTATTTATATATATCCGCTCTGAAATTTCCCTGTTACTCTTATTCTGTAATTTCTGTTTGTAAACCACGCAAACGTACATAGTGTATTGACGGTCGTTGACACAAGAAGGATGAAATTGTTCGTTTACTGGAGATAGGCTTAACTTTCCGAAAGTCCACTTTGGCTTAAAGTCAGACTTTCAGTTGTAACTTTTTCGTCGCTGCCGGGAGGCTGAAGTTTGCTCTTTAGACTGTTTACAATGATTTCCGTTTACGATCTGTCATGTAAACGTGCTTTAGCTCGTATGCGTTAACGAACTTAATATCCCACGATGTCCCTGTTTACGATCGATTTGACGTAAGTCGCGTAAACACGCTTTAGTTTGTATGCGTTTACGAACTTGATATCCGTTCATATCCGTTTAAGAATTGTCAAGTGTGGGACGAAAGCCATGTGAACGCGCTTTAGCTCGTATGCGTTTAATATTACGAACTTCGGATATCCAATGACTGATCCCGTTTTACGATTTGTCACGTGTTGGACAAAAGCGGTGTTAACTCGCTTTAGCTCGTATGTGTCTACGAACTTGATATCCGAAGATTTCCCGGTTTACGATCTCTCATGTGTGGACAAAGTCGTGTGGAGGCGCAGTTTGCTCGGATGCGTTTACGACTGAACTTTATATCTGATGATATCTGTTCAAGAACAGCCGTGTGGACGAAAGCTAAAAACGCGCTTTAGTTTATATGATTTAATAAATTTGATATTCCTTTTAGAACAGTCATGTTTGCACGAAAGCCGTTTGAACCGGCTTTAGCTCGTATACGTTTACCGCTGCGGAAATCCGAAGATATCCCACTTTTGTAAAATCCAACTAGTGGTCTATTATCAATGCTGCGTTCTGATTGGTTGAGCTACTACTAGGCTATATGTTATAGCCCACTAGTAGCGAAAAGCGCGGGCTTTTTGGCGGCAAAAAAGGATTAAAGTCTAGCTTCAACTAGCTAAAATTTTTTATTCTCGATATTTTTGACCAACTAGTTGGATTTTACTAAAAAGATTATTCCTCTCGCCCTCATGGCCTCTGAGTCAATAGCCCATTCGGCTTTCGGCCTCATGGGCTATTGACTCAGAGCCTATTCGGGCTCGAGGAATAATTGTTAATTACACTCTGTCATGTGTGGGACGAAATTCGAGTGAACGTGCTTTAGCACGTATCCCTTAACGAACTTGATATCTACCGATATCCCGTTTTACCATCCGTCATGTGTGGACAAAAGTTGCGCAAAGGTGCGTTACTTTGTATGCGCTTACAGTCTTAGAGATTCTCGTGTGCAAATGCATGTTAACCTTACCAGGGTGCTATTACATTAGCGGGTTGGTGGGGAGGTTAGTAACTCTCAAGGGCGCAGAACAAGCTAAGGAGAGTTATAGAATAAGTTACACTTTCAAATGCTAGAATTAGTGTGAAACGAAACGACATAAGGTTAGACTGACTTCGTAGTAGCCATATAGCGATTCAAAACTGCCGCTTTGTGTCAACAAGAGGCTTATTTTCTCTTTTTCAAAGTTTTTTTTTTGTTTCAGTGACTGTTTTTCAGTGACTGAAAAAAGTAAAAAGTTGATTAAAAACACGAATCTTCCCTACTAGCCAGGTTTTTCCTTTGTTCTTTGTTCAATCCTTACTCAAATTTATGATTGCTTGACTGTCTTAATCCTTGTTTCAGCATCACAGAACGTCTCGAGTTCACAAGAAACAAACTCCAGGTCAGTCTTAACAGAACCCGTGGTTGTGTCAGAAGAACTTCTTGTCCACAGTTACAGCAGATGCTTAAATTGACGCCCAGGCGCTTATTTACCATTTTGGGTTGGGTTTATTCGACGGGTTGGGTGGGGACGATTTTTTTAAGGGGGGCTCTTAATTCGTTGTTCAAGTGTTTGCCACAAAATAACATTGTATTTATTTCCAGTAAATACGTACGCACCGTAACAGTAACATAAACCCAGATGGATGAGCAACCAAAGGTAGAACAAGCTGCTCAAAAATGCCTTTTTTTTCCAGCTGTATTCCTGCGGAGCCCCCAGTCAGCTCTGCCATGAGGGACGCGTCTTGTTCTTTTTACCCTAAAATAGCTGGAGCCTGTAAAGACATCATAAGTAATCGATATGTTTATGGGGATCCTGGTTTCTTGAGAGGAAGCGAGAGTCTCAATGCAAGGTTCGATGGTTTCTTAAAATTAACATCTGAAGAATGCAAACGTTTCATCAAGGAAGCGGCCTGTCGCTATTTGTTTCCATTGTGTGATACCTCTCTAAACATGCCTCGTGCTCAGGGGGTTTGTCGTAAGACTTGTCAGTTTGTGATCTATGAAAAGTGCGCAGAAGAGTTAGTTGGTCTGAGAGCTATTGCGGAAGCGGGAACAGAACCTGATTTTGACGTAAATCTAATCAACTGCACTACATACCCCACTGCCAATGGAGGAGAGGCACCAGAATGCTACCAATCCCATGCATTACCAGGTGATTACTTGTAACATTTCCTGTGGCTTCAGCTCCCAGTTGTTCAAAAAGTTGATAACGCTATTAATAGTACAATTGTTTTCTTTAAAACTTATGGATCATTACACGTTTCTGGGAAACTGCCCGCCTACCCCTCCCCTAAGCTAACGTTAACACTTATATGGCGACAAAATGATGAAACTGTTTAAGCTGCGGTTGCATTTATTAAAAAAAAAATGAAATGGTTCAGAAAGAAGAAGGAAATCAGGCGTGTCGTATTTACATATATCTGCTTTGAACTTCTGTTTGTAAACCACGCAAACTTACTTAGTGTATTGAGGTTGTTGACACGAGAAGGATAAAACTGTGAAAGGTTTTTTAATTTGAACCCAGGAGTCATTTCAAAAGTAGGTTTAGTTTGATCGTCCGGGTGAACGTAGTCCTGAATAGGACTGTTGTTGTTGACAATGACTGACGGTTCGACAATCTGTGCGGTAGTCATCCTCGGAGTCAAAGTGAGTTGTATCACGTCAGTTGATGGTATTATACTCTGGTTATTGATCTGATTGGTCAACTGACGTGATACAACACACTTCGACTCTGAAGATGACTACCGCAGAGATTGTCGAACCGTCAGTCATTGTCAACAACAACAGTCCTATTCAGGACTACGTTCACCCGGACGATCAAACTAAACCTACTTTTGAAAGGATAAAATTGTTCGTTTGCTGGAGATAGACTTTCCGAAAGTCCATTTTGGCTAGGCTTTCTTAACTTTTCGTCTCTGGGAGGCTGAAGTCTTCTCTTAAGACTGTTTACAATGATTTCCGTTTACGATCTGTCAAGTAAACGTGCTTTAGCTCGTATGCAATATTACGTATGTAACATTTCCTGTGGCTTTCAGCCCCCAGATGTTCAAAAAGTTGATAACGTTATTAATAGCAGAATTGTTTTCTTTAAAACTTATGGATCATTGTATATACTTTTCTGGGAAACGGCTCGCCTACCCCTCCTCTAAGCTAACGTTAACACTTAGGAAAAACTGTTTGAATGCAGAGGTCCACGCAACGCGTAGATATAACTGACTGGTTCCTCTTGCGAGATCTCTAATCAAAGAGATGCTGTAGCCAGACGCCACTTAAAGTGTGAAATAAAACAAAACTCAATACAGGGCTGGCACCACGGCAGCCTTCCTCAGTGCCAGAAATAGGCCCTGAGGAAGGCTACTTTTGTTAGCCGAAATATTGGCCTATAATAAATCAGCCCTTTGCCGTAGTGCCAGCCCTGGATTGAGTTTTGTTTTATTAACACTTACCTCTCACTTAGGTAAAAATGTTGGCTTAAGGGAGGAGTAGGTGGGCAGTTTTCCAGAAACTTCAACTGGACAGGGATTTATCAGGTGGATAGCGCCATCAAGCTTTTGAACAACTAGGGCCTGGTTTATATTTTTTTCAGAAAAAGAAAGGGTCTTAACGTAAAGTTCTTCTCTTTTTCTTTTTTGAAGGTGACAAAACCAGAAGTACAGGTTTGTGAATCTTTTCTTAGCATGCTTCTAAAGCACTAGCCTAAGTGATCTCTTGTCTGACGAGGGACTGACACTAAAAATGTCACTTTTTGAATTTTCTTACTGCGTCAAAAGAGGCACTTGCTAAGTACAATATGCTATCCTTAGATTGCTACCATGGCATTGGCGTTGGATATCGTGGTGAAGTGAATATAACTCGATCAGGCCGTTCTTGTCAGCGGTGGATTTCTCAATGCCCTCATCGTCATCTGCGGATTCCTGAAGATGTTGTTGATGGTCAGAATGACTCCAACATGTGTCGTAACCCAGATGCTAGTGCCCCGGATGGACCTTGGTGCTATACCACTGACCCTAAGGTTCGATGGGAGTACTGCAACATATCCCGCTGCCCTCCAAGAGGTACTTTTTAGGTTTTGTTTTTGCAAAATCTTCCTTTCCTCGCTCCCTCCCAGCTCAATATCCATGCTTTCCAAAGAGGCATATTTGATTCCTTTACACAAAAAGATATACTTTCCAATAGACTGATCTGTAAAGTATAATTATTTTCCTTCTTCGTTGGTTTACTCCTCCCTTTTTTTCCTTTCATCCTGTTTGTTCCCCCCTTCTTCTTCCTTCCTCCCCCCCCTTTTTCCCTCCTTCCTTCCTCCTTCTTTTCTTCCCCCCCTCCTTGCCTTCCTTCTTCCTTTCCCCCTCCCTTCCTTCCTTCATTCCTTTCTCCCCCTTTCCCTTCCTTCCTTCTTCCTTGATCCCTCGTTCCCTTCTTCCTTCCTCCATTCCTTTCTCCCCCCCCCTTCTCTTCCTTCTTCCTTCGTTCCCTTTTTTCTTCCTTCCTTCCTTCCTCTGTTCCCCCTCCCTGTATTCCCCTCTTTCTTTCCTAGCTTCCTCCTTCCTTCATCTTTCGTTCCCTCCTTCCTTCCTTCGTTTCTTCTTTCCTTCTGTTACGCAGGTAATCTTTTAGAGGACGGGTAGCTTGCAAACCAAACTGAAGGCAGGGTTGGCGGAACAGCAACAAGAAGATATATTCCAAAAATGAACGTAGTTTCCACGAAGTAAAACTCCACAACAGCACGTAACTTGATAAACTTACACGGCCTCCGCCAACTTTAATTAACTTGATAAACTTACACGGCCTCCGCCAACTTGAATAAACACTGCTTTCGTCACACTTGACTAAACACGACTAACGCCAAACTCTCTCCGCTTGTGAAAACTAGTTAAAACTTAACTCGGACTAGCCTACTTATATATACTTTCACAATAAGATTCTAGAACTTTCCTACAATTTTTCGTAACACCTTCCTTCCTTCTTCCCTCCTCCCTCTTCTCCTTCTTCTTCCTTCCACCTTTCCTTCTTCCCTTCCTCCCTCCCTTTTTCTCCTATTTTTGTGCAATTGAGTGTTTGTGAAAATTTCCACTCACCAGTTCCATCTGATGGCCCGAGTTTCGTAAGAGGATACCCTCTCAACTCAACTGCAATTCACATATCCTGGGAACGTATCCCTTCAACCTCTCACAATGGAAAGCTCCTGGGATACCGCATAAGATACGGACGCAATGGATTCCAGTTATATACTGAAAAGAATGTTACTAGTAACAGCACAGAAGTTGTGATCAGCAGACTTGACTTCCAAACTTCGTATGAAATTAAAGTAAATGGCTTTAACGAAGTTGGTCACGGACCACCTGGAAACCTCATTACTGTACAAACCTTGCAAAATGGTAAGTAAATGCAATCCCACTCAACGCTCTTCCATTAATTGTTCTGTAATTAATTTTAATTATTAGTTATTGCAATATTCTTGAAGTAGAGGAATGGGTGTAGCCCAATTTATATATACTGCCATTGTACACTCTGTGAACTTGAATGATATTAAGTTTTTAAAGTGAATAACCTAATTATCAAGTAGTGTTTCTGGAGAGGTGCTTTTCAATTTTTAGTGATAAAGAACATCGGAGAGTGACTCTGACATCGCATACATGCTTTCATTAGCTTCGCTCCTGACCATAGGTGAAAGATGTTGAAGTTCCATTTTCAAGACTGAATAATTTTTCTGTCTTTTTAGGTAGCATTGTGGTTGATATAAACTTTGAGCTAGTGATCAACGCTGGTTTTCATAGTGATCTACTTAATAGAAGTAGCGAAAAGTTCATAGTGATGGAAAAGAATATTATCTCGAAGGTAAGCAAGGGTTATTTGGCAGTTGATTTGGGATTTCGCCATCGTTTAGCCTGGTTTTAGGCGCGCTTTTATGAACACTTAACTGCCTTGCGCCCATCCTTGTGTTTTGGTTTGATAAAAGTAATAAGGCTACTGTTGCGTTGCAGATTAATATCCACTTCAATGAATCCTCCTTATTCAAGATTTACGAAGTCAGAGTTTTGAGCTTCAGGTAGTATTTCTCTCAGTCTTACCAGTCAATATATATTTTGCTGGTTCTAAAGGTTCACCGCAGCCAAAAGCTTTTTGTGGCGTCATTCATGTGCTCTTCTTTTTTAGTTTAACTTCATGTCATCTTCGGACGAAGACGAAGAAAACTTCCTTAGCACTGTGTCATATATTGGAAATGTTTGGCTAGAAATTTTAATGGTGACAACTATTGCCAAAGACTTGGATTTTGAAAAGTGGCTCGGCTTGAGCGAAAAATTGTTTTACGAACAGAAATCTGTCACTGTCCTATGCACATACTAATGGGTGTGTTTGGGTTATGTTATGTTCTCTGTGACCGAACTAGTCTTACCAAGACCAAAACGGGATAAATTATGAACGTCATCTGCTAGTTACGATTAATCGTTTTTTTTTTCCAATTCTCTCTTCTGACTTACCAGTCGTGGAAGCATAAACGCCCAGATGTTGGCTTTATCCGTAGTAAATGAACATACTTCAAAAGCTGAGGCTTTGACTCGTTTTATAGAAGGATTTGATACCTCGTTTAAAGACACTTTGGGTGTGTCCGCTCTTATTGTTGCAGGTAAGATACTTCGTTGACTCTAAGGAGCTGTCCACACTTAATGCTGGGAACCAGTGCCTGGGTACCGACAAAAAATAGTGTTGTGTTCACACCTTCAGTACCCGATATGTGACTATGTACGTAGCTCTGTCAGACGCCATTTTGAAACATGAGCTTAGCAGCGAGAACTAACCAGTGGACTGCCCGGAGCTCATACAAAAACCGTGTGCACACTGGGACCCGGTGTCTACTTCTGCGCCCGAGTACTAGGTCGCGACCTGGTACTCGGGTACGCGCACGGTGCACGAATTCTAGCGTGGGTACTTGAAAAAAGGGTGTGTTCACATTAGTGCCCAGCGAGTAGCGTACTCGGGCATCGTGCCCAGACACCGAGTGTGAACGTTGCCTAAGAAGACAAAGTCCCTGTTGTTGCTGATTTAAGGTTCAGTTCTAAGAAAACATATTTTTGTATGCGGTTATCTGATTTTCTAAATTTCATATTTTTGTTTTACTTTTCAATAAGAGAAACCACCACCGCCTGGAAATTTAAAGGTAATTAACGTACAGACACGTTACATTGTAATAACGTGGGAGAAACCAAAATATGGAAGTGATTTCCACATTCAAAACTACTCAGTCGAGCACAGAAAAGTAGGCTCCAAAAGCTTCACCAAGGTGGCAGCCTTGCCCTATTCACAGACTGGAATGGTTATGGAGGACTTAGAACCAGCCACTGAATACATAATCAGATTGTCGAGCATCAACAAATATGGGACATCCGATGGTGTACTCTTGACGCAAAACACACGAAAAGGTACTGGAATTTTGCTCTTTTTGTGCTGTAGATATGTATTTGCATGAGAGCATGTAAACATGGTTGTGACGGCAAGATGTTTTGCTTTTCGCGTGCTAATCACGCAAGCACGAATTTGAAAAAGTTTTTTGGTTGAAAACTCGACAAGTTTACTTTATTTACCCATTCCCTTGTCGGATGAAACTTGGAAAATCTTTACAAACATGCTGTGTCAATTTTTTTTTTCGCTTACGCTGACATTTTAAGCAAATCCGTATTTTGGAATGCGTCTTTTTTGCAAAACAAGAACTGATTACGCTTGCAAAACTTCGCGACTGGTAAGAATTTCTCTATTAATCAGTGCCATCACAAAGAGTTTCGCGTTTTCTCTCGGGAAAGTTAATTAATTTTATAAAAGCAAAAGAAAACTTTTTTCTCCCAACCCCTCTCGTGTTTATATCAGGCTATGCAAACATGCACGGAAAACGTTTTCTATTGTTTAAATGTAAATATTGTTAATGAAACTAGCCTTAGTACAGCAGCCCCCTTGAGGGGACGGGACGAGTGTACACTGTATAGGGCGAAACTTAAGGGGTTTTGATGGTTGCCAGCTGGCTACTCCCTCGCACGCTCATCAGAAAAGTAAAAATTTAGTTTCAGATTGTGCACATGCGTAAATGTGTGTGTAGAGTGTAAATGTTTGCCATCTTTTTAAACAAGCGTGGCCTCGAGGACCGCAAATACGTCCATTTTCTTTCTCCAAAGACCATTTTCGTCACATAGTGTACTAAATGGGTAGTACACTTTCTTTAACTACTTCCACAGTGTCTCATTCATTTACCAGAAACATTTCTTACAATGCGACAAAAACCTTGATTAATTCAGGTTTCCATATTATTGTGTCTAACTTGCAGATGCATTTATTAAGAACTTGATCCTCACAATTGTGCTTCCTTTGAGTTTGGCTTTCTTATTCATCGTCACCGTGTGCCTGATTTTTCGGCCATGTTGCCAAACAAAAACGAGAGAATATGGAAAGGTAAGAAGGATGATGATAAACATTTAGTTGCCTTAAATGCAATCTGTTATCTTCAAAGGTTAACCCTTAAAGCCCCAATATTCACATAAACATTTACAAGACTGATCTTCATACCGGAATTGTGAGCCACGGAATTTATCAAAGCATTTTCTCTTGGGTAATCAGCGAGCAGGGAAGGGTGTATTCGCGACAGTTTCAATTTATTCCTGTGAATGTCTTAACCTTCCACTTTTGAACAAACAAGCAGTGTAATGTAAGCGAAAATTTCTGCTCTAGATTGTGTTAGGGAAGCGCGGCAATTGGATTGAACTTCCCAGATCAGCTGTCGAGTTCAAGGAGAAGTTAGGTGAAGGGGCATTTGCAGAAGTTTTCAAGGGCGAGGTCACGATCAGCGGGAAATTTAGGAACTGTGCTATAAAGAAACTTAAAGGTAATCTCTGGTAAACTTTTTGTTGCTTTTTTTGTTACAATTGGGGAATAGACAGCGTATTGTCACATAACCCATTTATACTGCATAATAGAACATAGTTTCCTTTTTTCACCACTGCCTCAATTACTTACTTCATGTCTAACTAATAACTTATAGGTCTGGCCCGAGTTGTTCAAACGTTGGATAGCGCTATCCAGCGGATAAATGTTGGAGAAACTAATTGCGCTATCCAGTGGATAGAGATTTATCGAGCGGATACCGTTATCCACCTTTTGAACAATTGGGGCCTGATCTAACCGTACTTGGGATATTTGTATCATTGCTTAGTAAATATAACGCGATATTATTTGGGCATTAAAAACTTAATATTCTGACTCGTAACAGCAGCAAAAGTGTTTTTTTTAATTTTTAGAGAATGCTACAGAGAAAGAAAAACGTGACCTGAGGAATGAGCTGGAGATAATGGCTACAGTTGGTGAACATCCCAATGTTATAAATCTTATAGCAGCTTGTACAGAGACAGGTATTTCTCAATTTAATTTTAAACCTGGACATCGTTGTAAATTCATCAAGTTTTATGAGCATATAGCCACGCTTAATTTCGTCATGGCCAAACATGAACTTTAAACTTGCTTATGGTGATCTGTTCCTTAATCAAGCTACAAGCAAACAGACGTAACAATTCCAATAGACCTTTTTACCGATACGCTGGCCATATTGAGCACATTTCGTTTGTATTTTCGAGCGCTTTTCGGGACATTTTTTCTTAGAATAAGATTGTAATAATGGATTGTAGTAATGGATTGTAATAATGATCGCCTTTTTCTAGTTTAGTATTAGAAATATGGTCTTTCAGTGTATATTTCTCGAGGAAAAGGCGATCATTATTACATCGAAACACGGCACAAGGATCTTTTTCCCCATTACAATCTTATTCTAAGAAAACTTTAAGAAAAAATGTCCCGAAAAGCGCTCGAAAATACAAACGAAATGTGCTCATGCCCCCTGGGCATCCGATGATACTCCTCAAATCGAATTAGTTCAACATGGCCGCCGTATCGGTAAAAAGGTCTATTCCCAACATTGTCGCCCAACAATGTTGAGAGTTGTTGCGTCCATTTGCACGTAGCTAAAAGTTTGACCGGCTTCAAACTGCACAACGACTCCAAACAACACTTAACAACATGCACCAACATTCAATGGGATTTGTTGGCCAAAAATGTTGAATGTTGTGTCCTTCTGCTCGGGGCTTTACGTACAATTACTGCATAGAAAGAAAATCTGTGAGAATGGGGCTATATCGACACGAAATATGATGTGACTAAAAATATTATATCTTCAACTCTACTATCTTTTTTTTTTATATATTATCCATTTCTGTATGCGTAGTTTATCTGCACATCATTAATGAGTCTTCTTTAGGCTTCCTTTTAGGTTTGAACGTTGGATTAGGGGAGGGGTAGGTGGGGAGTTTAACAGAATCATATACTGATCCAAGTTGGATTGTGATGGTATACCGTGTTTAAAAATTAAGCTATGTACTTTCTTTCAAACAGAACCGACATTGGTTGTCGTACGCCTGGCGGAAAATGGCTGCCTGTTAAATTATCTACAGAGAAGCAGAGAAAATCTTTACGTGAATGTAAACAAACCGAAAATAAGCTTCACATCAAGTGAAAGAACAAGGATCGCAAGAGATATTGCAAATGGAATGCTGCATCTGTCAAACAAAAAGGTAAGAGGCTCTACGAGCAAGAAATAATAAAGGCCACAGTTAGGGTCGATTTTGTTTTGGTGGC